CTATCCCTCCTCTCCCATCCTTTCTCTCCATCCAATCTAATGTGACACACTTTTTTTTTTTCTTTTTCTCATCACAACATTATATATGTATTCTGTATAACAGTGAGGTTCTCCTTCCATCTTCTGTGCAACTCTCCTTCTCCCTCCCACCTCTCTTCCCTATTTAGTGGTAGTCTTCTTCTTATGCTCTTCCTCCCTATCCCATTTTGAGTCACCCCCCCTTATATCAGAGAAGACATTCGGCATTTGTTTTTTATGGATTGGCTAACTTCACTTAGCATAATCTGCTCTCAGGGTTTTTAATATATCAAGTGACTTCTGCTTTTTCATTAACAAATATAACTTAGAAAAAGCAGTAAGTATATTAATGAAATTAAATCTTAAAAGACTCACAATATGGTATTCAGTTTAAAGCAAGGGTTAAAAGAAATAACACTCAAATTTATAGTAAGCATCAGTGACATGTTTTACCGTATTACTAGCCTTACTTTTCTAACTATTTGTTTTTCTTCATCTCCTCTTACTATCTTTTTTTGATGTTTTAGGCCATTTCTTGGCTTCTGGTGGTCTGATCTAATCTGTTCAGGAATGCTAATTTAAAGGAAAGGTGCTAGTGAATTCATTTATACTCTTGGTACATACACTCCAATTGCCACTGCTTTCTCTTCCTTCATCTTGTTCCTAACAAAGGTTTTTAAGTCCTGATTAATGATTTCTCAATTTATACACTGTCTTTTTAAAGGGAACATATATATTTTTTTAATCTCCCAAACATTTTAAACTACCAAATGAAATTGATTAGACTTTAAATAAATTTACCTAGGTTTCTTTAAAATAGTTTAGGTGGAACTTTTTTTTTTTTTTTTTTTTTTCTTTTGAGACAGAGATTACTCTGTTTTGCTCAGGAGCTCAAATGATGCTCCTGCCTCAGTAGACCAAGTAGCTGGGATTGCAGGCCTGCAGGCAAATAATATGGCTGTTTCCTTTGGTGGTTTTGTTTTTTGTTTTAATTACTGTTACATTAAATATATAGATTAAGGTTTGGTGTGTGGCTCAATAGAGTACTTGCTTAGCATGCATGAGGTCCAGGGTTCAATCCCTAGCACTGCAGAAAAAGAAAACCAAAAAAAAAAGTATATGTGTGTGTTGAAAGGATTGGTTTTTCTTTTTCTTTTTTTGGTACTGGGGATTGAATCCAGGGATTCTTATTTTTTTTAATATTTTTTAGTTGTAGTTTGACACAATACCTTTATTTTTATTTATGTATTTTTATGTGGTGCTGAGGATCAAACCCAGGGCCTCATACGTGCTAGGCGAGCACTCTATTGCTGAGCCACAACCCCAGCCCAAATCCAGGGATTCTTTTTCACTGGGCTACATGTCCAGTTCTTTATTTCATTTTATTTTTTAAAATTTACAGGCACTGTGGCACATACCTCTAATTCTAGAGACTCTGGGAGGCTGAGGGAGGAGGATCACAAGTTCCAAGCCAGCCTCAGCAATTTATCAAGATCCTGTCTCAAAAATAAATTTAAAAAAGAGGCTGGGGATGTAACTCAGTGTTAAATTGCTATTGGGTTCAGTGCCCAGTACTAAAAAAAAAAAAAAATAATAATGTTGAGGGCTGGGATTATAGCTCAGTGGTGGAGCAGTTCCGTGGCATGTGTGAGGCACTAGGTTCAATCCTCATAAAAATAAATAAAATAAAGGTATTGTGTCCATTTACAAATAAAAAAAATTAAATAAATAAAATTTTGAAAGATAGTCATGCTAAGTTGCTGAGGGTCTCTGTAAATTGCTGAGTCTGACTTCAAGCTTGTAATCCTCCTGACTCAACCTTCCAAGTAGTTAGTTTTAGGTGTGTGCCATGGTACAGAGCTAGAATTGGCAATTTCTATAGTATCGAGTCTTCCTTCTTTTCTTTCCTTGCAGTGCTAGGGATTGAACCCGTGGATTTGCCTATGCTAGGTATGTGCTTAGTCACTGAGCCACACCCCCAGCTTTCTATTCAGTTTTGAGATACATAGTACATTATTATTAACTATAGTCATCATGCTGTGCAGTATATCACTATAATATAATCCTCCTGTCTAGCTGAAACCTTATATTCTTTCATTAAAAACTCTCCCTTGGGGCTGGGGATGTGGCTCAAGCAGTAGCGCGCTCACCTGGCGTGCGTGCGGCCCGGGTTCAATCCTAAGCACCACATACAAAGAAAGATGTTGTCTGCCGAAAACTAAAAAAATAAATATTAAAAAAATTCTCTCTCTCTCTCTCTCTCTCTCTCTCTCTCTCTCTTTCTCTTTCTCTCTTAAAAAAATATATTAAAAAAAAAAAACCTCTCCCTTTCCCCATACCACTCCCCTTATTAAGAATTAAGTTTTGAAAGTGTTTGTTCCTCTTATATTTTCTGGAAGACTTTTTATAGACTTGATAATCTTTCTTCCTTAAATGTCTGCTAGAATTCATTAGTGAAATGACTTGAGCTAAGAAAGTTTTTTGTTTTGGTTTGGTTTGGTACCAGGGATTGAACCCAGAGGGGCTTAACCACTGAGCCCCATCCCTAGCCCTTTTTATTTTTTATTTTGAGACAGAATTTGGCTAAGTTTCTGAGGCTGGCTTTGAACTTGCAACCCTCCTGCCTTAGCCCTGGAGCCAGGCATGATGGTGCACAACTGTAATCCCAGCAGTTTAGGAGGCTGAGGCAGAAAGATCACAAGTTCAAGGCTAGCCTCCAACAATTTAGGGAGGCCCTTAGCAACTTAGTGAGACTCTGTCTCAAAATAAAAAATAAAAAGGCTCAGAGATGTGGTTCAGTGGGTAAGCCCCTAGATTAGATCTTCAGTACACCACCCCAAAAAGGACAAATTCAGTTTTAAATTGACATGAGATGCTAAATGAAGTTAGCCAATCCCCAAAATCCAAATGCCGAATGTTTTTTTTTTTTTTTTATATAAGGAGGCTGATTCATAGTGGGATAGGGAGCATGAGAGGAATAGATGAACTCTAGATAGGGCAGAGGGGTTGGAGGGGAAGGGGGGGCATGAGGTTATTAATGATGGTGGAATGTGATGATCATTATTATCCAGAGTACAGGTATGAAGACGTGAATTTGTATGAATATACTATCTATACAACCAGAGTTATGAAAAATTGTGCTCTATATGTGTAATAAGAATTGTAATATACTCCGCTGTCATATATATAAATAAGAAATATATATATAAAAATTGATATGGAACTATTTGAGCATTCTGTTTCTTCTAGACTAAGTTTGCATTTTATAAAGAATTTATTTCATTTGGCTATGAAATATATTGACAAAAATTTGTTTATGAATATTTTTTCTTACCCTTTTAATGTTTATAGGATTTGTAGCAATGTCTCCTCTTTTGGTCCTGATGTTGCTCATCAATAAATTAATGTCTCTTCTTTTTTTTCCTGAGTTAAATTTTTTTCCGTTTTCTTTTTCCCCCTCTCTCTTTTTTCTTTCTTTCATGATACTGAGGATGACCCAAGGGCACTGTACCACTGAACTATACCCAGCCCTTTTTTATTTTTATTTAAAAAAAATATTTATTTTTTATTTTAGGTGGACACAATATCTTTATTTTACATTTATGTGGTGCTGAGGATCAAACCCAGTGCCTCGTGCATGCTAGGTGAGCACTCCACCACTGAGCCACAAATTCAGCCCCCATTTTATTTTTTAATTTGAGATAGAAGTTTGCTGATTTGCCCATGCTATGTTTTAAAATATATTGTTTTAGTTGTAGATGGACACAATACCTTTATTTTATTTATTTATATAGTGCTGAAGATCAAACCCAGTGCCTCACATGTGCTAGGAGAGTGCTTTACCACTGAGCCCCAGCCTCAGCCCCAGCCCGCCCATGCTATCCTTGAACTTGAGATCCTCCTGTCTTAGCCTCCCAAGTAGCTAGAATTGTAGATGTGTGCTATGCACATGGCTTGACTTTTATTATACTTTGTTTCATTATTCTCCATTGTTTTTCTTTGTTTCTTTCTACATTTTCAGCAATTTAACCCAGGGATGTTTACCACTGAGCCACATTCCCAGCCCATTTTTGTATATTTTATTTTCAGACAGGGTTTCACTAAGTTGCTGAGGGCCTTGCTAAATTGCTGAGGCTGGCTTTGAACTTGGAATCCTCCTGCTGTGGCCTCTTGAGCCTCTGGGATTATAAACTTGCACCATAGCGCTTTCTTTGTTGTTGTAATCTTTATTATTTCCTTACTTCATGCTTGGGTTTAATTGGCTCTTGTTAATTTGCTTTGTAAAACCTGTCTGCCCCAGCCTCTCTGAACTCTCACCTCAGTCTCTTCAACTCAGCAAGACTGTTGGGCTATGTTTGAGTTTCCTTTCCATGCACTGTAGCCTGAAATTTCCTTTAAGCAGTAAACTCTGGTAATTGTAGAACTCACCTTGTTTGTTTCTCTTTCTGAGATTATAGGTCTGTACTACCAGTTGTCAAACATCTGAAGAAATAGTTGTTTTGTTTATTTTGTCCAGTTTCTTAGTTGTTTATGGTGGAAGGGCAGTTCCCATGCTAGTTAATCCTTCAGTACTGAAGGATGTATGCATTTTATACTTTGCAAAATTTCTAAAATAATCAGAAGAAATAAATTCTATTCCTTTACCTTTTAACAAGTTCACCCCATCTTTTCCATATTCCCTCTTCTGGGTTTGCATTTATGACAGAACAAAATGGTTTCATGATCTGTTGAGTTCATTCTCTTTCCAAATAAGAATAATCCTGAAACATTGAAGAGGCTGAATTGTTTTGTTTTTTTTTAAGTTTTTTTGGGCCTGTTTTCCATCACTAGACTTAGTCTTTCTCCTATACATTGTATGCAATTCTTATTGTCATTTATAACTTAATATTTGTTAGCTATTCTTATCTTATTCACTTGGGTGATGCTTTAGTTTAAAAATATCACCACATAACCAGTGTTCAGTTGTATGAATTTTTTCCCAGGTGGTATAGCTGTATGTTGGGAAAAAAATGCAGTCTGGCTCCGCTGAAAGAAGAGCTTCGCATCCAAGGGGTAAGGCCTTGTCATCATCATTCTAGTCTGTCTAATTTTTGATGGTAGTTTGGGTATAGAATCTTCCTTTACTATCCCACAGCTCTAAATGTGGTAATGTGGTTCTTCTTCTACTTTTCTTTCTTTTTTTGTTTTGTTTTGTTTTTGGCTTGTTTTTAAAAGTCTACAATTGTAGGGCTAAAAGGGACTTTTATATATTATTAAAACAAGACCTTTTTTGAAATTATAATACAGAAAAGGTATGGGAAAACAGGGTAAGTAGAATGTCAAAGAGAGACCTGAAATTAAAAATTCTGATGTTTACCACCAACCTCATATCTGACTCTTTATAGATGTACATCTTTATAGATGTAGAAACTAAATGCTAAATAAGTTAAGGGATTTGTTCCAGATCACACAGCTGGTTAATAAAGGACAACTAGAAACGAACAGTCTTAGTTAGTCCACTGTGCTTTCTACTAGGGTGACAGCCTACCCAGTGCAACCCGTTGCTTCTTTTTTCAAAGGCAGTTGGAAAATAAGCCCCCTCCATCACTTTCCTCTAAGTGTGTGGTATTTGGCATGAGTAGATATTTGTAAAATGAAAAGGGTGAGGTGTAAGGTTAGGAGTAGAAGCCAAGTATCTATTTTATTTTTATATTTTGCAGTGCTGAGGATTGAACCCATGGCCCTGTGCTTGCCAGGCAAATGCTCTGTCACTAAGCTATATCCCACCGCCTGAAATTAAGTTTCTGATCTGTTTTCTCTTAGACATTCTGTTAGTTGTTTTCCCCACAATACTGCTTCTTGGTAAAAGTGTAAATGTTACAAAGGAATTTCTTTTTTTTCCCTCCTGAAATCTGATAAATTAAAGAGTGATCACATACCTGTGAATAGCTGGACTTTGGTTGACTTTCTTTATTAGAAAAGGAAAAACAACAATAACATTCAAATCAATTTACAAATGTAGAAACAATGCTAGATAAGTTAAGGGACTTGCTGGTTAATAAAGAACAGCTCCAAAGAGCTGTTTTAAGTGTTTCTTATATTTGTTCCTTTGAGCCAGGTCTTTAAATTCTCCCTAATGTTTTATAGGAGGGGGGGAAAAACTTTATTGAGATATAATTATTCAGTGATATTGGGAAGCTATGATTAATTATTTTTTGGAAGTAGTGTTTGTTAGCTAATTAAAAAAAAGGACAGATAACTTGAAGTAGCAGCCAGAAACATCTGTAGAACAACTTCAGTTTGATGAGATGCTGTGTTTGTGTTTTCAGGTTCCCAAAGTTACCTTTACTGAGTTTTGTCAAGGTCGGACAATGAGATGGGCCTTAGCTTGGAGTTTTTATGATGATGTCACAGTACCAGTAAGTAGAAACTTTACTTGAACTCCAAATGCCAGCACATGCTTGGGTTTAGTGGGTCACAAATGAACTAAATCAGTATTGTCCCATTTCCCTTAGGTTTGCCCACAAATGCTTATGGAAAAATAGAAAGTAGATTGTAAGCAAGGCACAGTCCTGGAAGGCTGATTGGTGACCATGGAGACTTCCTCTGTGGGTTTGTGCGACACAGAAATTCTTGTTCAGCAAACACAAACACATCTTTTAGGAATTAGAAACATAGGTAATATAGCCTGTGGGAACACTTCATGAGTGCAGTGATTCTGGTTGACATTGCTCTGGAATTGAAATTCAGTTGAAGTCTTTTTTTCCTAGGGTAGCTGCCTTCTGGGGCTCCTAGTGAATTTAGAAGTTTCCTTTTTGAAGCTGGGCATGGTGGCACATACTGTAACCCCAGCCTCTTTGGAGGCAAAGCAAGAAGATTGAAAGTTCAATGTCAGCCTTGGCAGGCTAGCAAGACTTTCAACAACTTAGCAAGACCCTGTCTCAAAAAATGAAATTTGAATGGGGTGGCATACTCTTGGAAATCCAGCTACTTGGGAGACTGAGGCAGGAGGCTCACAAGTTTGAGGCCAGCCTAGGTCAACTCCAAGAAACCCTATCTCAAAATAAATAAAAAGAGCTTGGCATATGTATCTCAATGGTAGAGCATCCCTGGGCTCAATCTCCTTTACCCCCAACAAAGAAGTTGTTTTGATTTTATTTTTCACCTCCATAGTTCCTGTGCTGGGAATTGAACCCAGAGCCTGGCACATGCTATGCAAACATTCTACCACTGAGCCACACTTCCAGCCTTTGTAGATTCAGCATTTTCATGTAAAACACTTAAGATCAGTCTAGTGAGTGATTATTCTGCCTTGTCTTTAAAATTAGCCCTAGAATATTAACTAGTCTTGAAGGTGAGTGATAAGTCATGATTCTATTTTCTCTACTTTGTATGCATGTGCTCCTTTTTCCCACAGTGCTTGTGGAAGCCTGGTACCTGCTCCTCCAGGTCTCCTCCCCAGTCCATGCAGCAGACTGGATAAGAAATTTGTGTCAGTGGTTTGTTCACAAATGTTTCTGACTTCTGTACTGTTATATGTAAAGTAGAAAACACATCTGAGCTGGCCAGACCAAGTTGATTTTTTGCACTGTTAATTGTGTTTAGCCAGCTTATTGTTGCTGTGACCACAATACCTGATGCAAAAAATTCAAATGAGAAAAGATTTATTTTGGCTCATGGTTTCAGAGGTTCATTCTATGGTTTACTGGCTCTATTGCTGTGGGCCTGAGGTGAGGCAGTGCTACATTGTGGAAGGGCATGGCAGTAGAAAGCTGCTTTAGCTCCTGGCAGCCAGGAACGGGGGTGGGTAGAGATAAGGTATAGTTCCAAAGGGTACTCCTCCTTCAACCAGGTCCCACCTCCTACAGTTCCCAATAAAGGATTACTAATCTACGGATGAAGTCAGATCATCACACTGATGAAGTCAGATTCTCTAATCAGTTTTTTTTTTCCAAATTTTTTAATTGGTGCATTATAGCTGTACATCTGATTACTTTCCAAAAGCCACACTTCTGAACATTGCTGCATTGGGGATTAGGCCCTTAGCACATGAGACTTTTGGGGAACATTTCATATTCAAACCATAACAGTGTTGGAACAGCATCTCTTTGTTCTCACACTTCCCTCCCAGAATGGTTGACTTCTTGTTGCCTGGGGTTGCCTGCCTTAAGTTCATACATGGCTGCTCAGCATGTGCTCCTTCTTCCTGCAGTGTTTGTGGAAGCCTAGTACCTGCTCCTGTAGGTTTCCTCCCCAGTCTGTGCAACAGGCTTGTTCTGGGGGTTCCTCTCCCATAGTCGTGGCCACTCTTGGTCTCTAAAGTCATCTTAGTTGATGCTGTGTCTGATTCTCTCCCTGCTCTTGTAGGGCAGATGCATGGAAGTAGAGACACATCGAAGCACTAGGGGACAGTTTGCTGGTGCCACTTTATTTCTGAGAACATGAGCTCAGATATAAGACTTGAGAATGTCCTTTCTCCACCCTGCAACTGGTGTGCTGCTGGATTGAAATATGCTTCACAGTTTGGCCTTTCCTGTGGAGGTCAGACTCAATTCTAAAACAGTACAGTAGTATACTTAGAGGTGAGGTTAGTGTGTCAAAAATCACTGGTTAAAAGATATCTGTTTTTTTCACCTCCCTGAAGTATTATCCTTTCTTTTGTCTTCTCGAATACCAGCACTTATACACCAGATGGTTAAAATCATTAGTAATGCCCTAACTTACTCTGTGCAGACATGAACAGCTGCAGGAAAGTGGAGCAGCACCTGGCTCCAATGTTTTCTGCTTAGTCTGCTTCCCACATGTGTTGGCACTACAGCTAAAAGAACTGATAATGGCCTCTGGCACTCTCCACGCCAGCTCGTAGACCAGTTGCTCTTGCCCTCTTGGATTAGCAATTATCGTAGATCCAAGTGTCAAAGTATACTGTGTTTCTGTGTGAGCAAAATTGGCTTATTTTGAAAAGGAACTCTTGAGCCTCCCTCTCTTTTACGGCCTCCTATATCCTTGCTCACAATTTTCAACTTTCAAAGATTGACTCTAAGACCTTCAGATTTCTCCCATGCTAGAGTATTCTTCCCTCCTCACCACTGCCACCACTGTTAATAATGCATTCTCAAGTGTTCCATTAGATGCACTTAAACTGCTGGGAGAAAGTGGCAGTTTCTGATTTGTAGTAACCCAGCAACCGTTTCTTAGCACTGGTGCTCTTGATCAGCAACTGCTTCCCCTGAGGTTAGTTCCAGGTTACTCAGGATATTTTGATTTAGCCTTCCTCTTGGTTCCTCTTCACCCTACCTAGACCTTTACCCATTCCCTGCTTTTTTTGAAGTGTTCACTGGATGGGAAAGAGGGAGGATGCTGTTTTAGACACATGGAGAGGAAACCAAGGAATAGAGCTAGTTAAGCAGAAATATTGACCTACTTCCCTACCCCCACCCCGCCATTTTAGGGTAAATGTGCAAGTTACTATGGCAACTTCTGTTTTCACTTATCTTAGGCCTACTGACTTGTTTCTGTTGGTGCTAAATGCCGAAACATTCTAATTCACTGGTGATTTTTTGCCTACACTAAACCCATTGCTGTTGTCTGGATTTATTTTAGCAACAAAAAGACAGATCCCAGTGATAGAATTTTTGTACCATCATTTCTGACTGATGATGAGTATAAGGAAGTGTGTAGTGAAGAGTGTTCTTTACATTATTGTAGCAAGCCACTTAGAAAGCCTCTTTGTTCCAGTTCTGTAATTGCTCATGGCATTGATTTAGCTTTGCTTTAAGGAAATTTAATATTCATTAAAATACAAAAGCAGATTGGGGGTGAAACTCTATTAAAGTTGTGCACTCTTGGTATGAGCATTGTCCAGGAATTCTCTGGTTGTAAAAAGTATTCCCCTGAGCTGTGCAGTGGCACAGACCTGTCATTACAGTGACTCAGGAGGCTGTGAGAGGAGGCTTCAAGGCCTTGTCTCAAAAGAAAAAAGGCAAGCTGGCGCATACCTATAATCCCAGTGAGTCGACAGGCTAAGGCAGGAGGATGGTAAGTTCAAAGCCAGCTTTAGCAAAAGTGAGGCACTAAGGGGCTGGGGATGTGGCTCAGTGGTAGAGTGCTTACCTAGCATATGTGAGGCCCTGGTTCGATCCTCAGCACCACAGAAAAAAATAAATAAATAAAATAAAGATATTGTGTCCAACTATAACTAAAAAATAAATATTAAAAAAAAAAAAAAAAAAGCAAGGCACTAAGCAACTCAGTGAGACCCTGTCTCTAAATAAAATACAAAATAGGGCTGGGGATGTGGCTCAATGGTCGAGTGCCAAGAGTTCAATCCCCAGTACCACCCCAAAAAGAAAAATGGCTGGGTATATAGCTCAGTGGTAGAGTGGCTCTGATTCAGTCCCCACACCTCAAAACAACAACAACAAAACCTGTAACTATAAAGTAAAATAGATGCTAGTATTCCTACCTTATAGATGAGTGTACTGGAGGCACTGGAGAGGTTGGAGCCCCAATTAGACTGATTTCCCAACTCAAGCCATTAGTTCTTTTTCTTTCTTTGTTTTCTTTTTATTAGTTGTCAGTGGACTTTTGTTTAATTAATTAATTGATTTGTATGTGATGCTGAGAATGGAGCTCAGTGCCTCACACATGCTAGGTGAGCATTCTACCACTAAGACAACCTCAGGTGCTGGGGTGGTGGCTCAGTGGTAGAGCGCTTGCCTCGCACGTGCGAGACCCTGGGTTCGATCCTCAGCACCACATAAAAATAAATGAATAAAATAAAGGTATTGTGTCCAACTACAACTAAAAAAATAAATATTAAAAAAAAAAAGATACAACCTCAGCCTGAAGCCATTAGTTATTTCTGATGGTCTGCTCCCCAAGTTACTGACTTTATTCCAGCCTAGCCATAATAACCTACTCTTGCAGGACTTCAACCTCTTGTGTAGGTACCATCTCAGTAGCCTCTGAAGAGTCTCTTGGATTCATCCTAAGTTTACCATTCTGCTCAAAAACTGTTGAGTGAGGCCGTGTGGTGGCGCACACCTGTAATGCCAGTGGCTCAGGAGGCTGAGGCAGGAGGATCATGAGTTCAAAACCAGCCTCAGCAATGGTGAGGTGCTAAGCAACTCAGTGAGACCCCTGAATCTCTACATAAAAGGCAAAATTGGGCTGAGGATGTGGTTCAGTAGTCGAATACCCCTGAGTTCAATCCCTGGTTCCAAAAACAAAACAAAATAAACCTCTTGATTGAGGGCTGGGGATATAGTTCACTTAGTAGAGTGCTTGTCTCACATGCACAAGGCCCTGGGTTCAATCCCCAGCATCACACACACACAAAATCTGTTGAGTGACTGGCCACTTGCTTTCAGTGGGGGTGAAGTACAGCTCCTTATTTGGCTTCATGAGTTTTCCAGAT